ACACACACACACACACACACACAAATACACATAAAAAGGCTAACCAATCTGTCTGAACTGGAATAATTTTCAATAATAATATATATGGGAGGGCCCCATAAACAGTATTGCATCATTATACGTGATATTCGTAGCGCAGCCTTAATCACATTGCTCTGTCCAATTTCCTATACAATGTTCAATACAAAACGTTCGACTAATCACCATTTATCATTGATAATCCAGTCAAACCTGTCTATGACCACAACCCATTTTTTGAGGAAAAAAGTAGTCATCTAAGATATGTGGCCTCTTGGAAACCGTCACTATGTTAGAGAAAAAAGTAAAAGGGGGTGGTGTGGGGGGTGGGGGTGGTGGTGGTGGTTATCTGTAGGCCATACAGGTGATTTTCTTGGGCAGGTGGTTGTTAGAGCAGGGTCGATTGAATTCAGTGTTTTGTTGTCATGGCAGTGGTCAGATTTTCTTTCGTAGAGGGGCAAAAGCCACAATTTTTGCACACATCCGATCCGATTATCTAAAGTAGAACGCGTTTGTTTGTCTAGATTATGATTGGGTGCACTTTGTAAAAATCGTGGTCATCATACAATCAGAAGTCGGATACATGTATCGCGACATTTCTGGGTCAGACCTTTCGTTTTCGCTCGAAACTCGATAACGGAATTCCGGTTCAATTTGGATAAAACAAAACAGAAGTCTATTTAATATAATAGCTCATTTGATCCGATCTGATCATCAGATCAGAACCATAATTTAACCAATGGGAATACATGTACCCCTACTTGCTTAGGCACTGCCAATCGACTTCCTTTAACTGAATTAAGGCCAGCCAGATTTTCTCCATGGAAGATCAAAAATAACCATTTAGGCAAATTTGGACCGAATTCGGCTAAACTTAAATTATTATTATTATTTATGACTTTTAAAATCAAACGCATTTCTTTTTGAGGGTCGAATAGGTCGTATTATGTCAAAATGAAGCCTTTGAGATTTTGTTGAAGGCTTATTGTATAAAGCAGACTATTATCCTTTGAAGTATTCGATTGAGCAAACGCTTTTGATTTGAGCCGATTTTTTTGCGACCTTCCTAATAGACAAAACCTAGCAAGAGAGAGAGAGAGAGAGAGAGAGAGAGAGA